CAACAGATACACAAAATAACCACAAAGAGACAAAAAATTAAGACAAAGAAACGACCATAAAGTAACACAAATATGAAAAAGAGACAAAAACACAAGACCAAGACACACGAAACAGCAACAGAGACACAAAACTATGGTAAAGAGACACAAAACAACCACAAAGAGACACAAAAGCTACGACAAAGAGACAAAAAGCTGCAACAAAGAGACACAAAACAACCACAAAGAGACAAAAAATGAAGACAAAGAGGCACGAAACGACCACAAAATAACACAAAACAATGACAAAGAGACAAAAACACAAGACCAAGACACACAAAACAGCAACAGAGACACAAAACTATGACAAAGAGACACAAAACAGCCACAAAGAGACAAAAAGCTACGATAAAAACATAAAAACAGCTAGAGAGAATCACAAAGCTATGACAAAAACACACAAAAGCTACGACAAAGAGACACAAACTGTCAGCAGAGACACAATACAACTAGAAAGAGACAAAACAAATATGGCAAAGACACACAAAAAAAGCAACAGAGACAAAAAAACAATGACAAAGAAACAAAAAACTAAACAAAAAAGCTAAACACAGAGATGCAGGACAATCCCAAAGTAACCAAAATATGAAAATGAGACAAAAAAAAAAAACCAGACCAAGAAACACCAAATGGCATCAGACACACAAACCGGCCCCAGAGTGACATAAAACACAACGACCGTTGGTCATGAGTACGTGACTTTTCTTTACTTAGTCGAGCTGTTTACGGGCTTTTTATAGTTCTTACCGTTAACCGGATCACTGTGGGAGTTCAAGAAGGCTGTTAGCTGCATAAAAACTCGACTTCACACATTAAGACGATGAGAAATCACAATAATTTACGACCTTTTCATGAGACGAGTTAACGAAGACCTCAAGATGGTTCACGTGTTGTCAACAGCCTGCAAAGCTGTCATCAAGAGGAGGAGGACGATGAAATGTGGAATAGATTCGGCTTTTCGTGGAGTTTGTTTCTCAGCACATTATTTCAGAAATGCTATTTAGTAGTAGTACTTCAGGATTTAGTTTGGAGAACACATGGACAGACGGACTGGTGCAGCGTCTAAGTGTAAACAATGCACAATATCTAAGTACAATTCATAAAATGTGTGAGTTTGTGTGTCTGTTCTTGGCTTATCTCCCCAACCGTACATCAGATCCACGTCAAACTTGGCAGAAGCGTTGCTGTGGACCCGAGGAAGCGCAGCGCCGAGTATGAAGCTGATCAGATCAACTTTGGGCGTTCTCCAGTCGTTTTATTCGGTCCTCTGCCTTGATTGTGGGTGGAGCTTCTGTTGCCAGGTAACAGCATCAATGACATCACACTGAGGGACGATTTTAGAACAGAAAAAAAAAACAGAAAACACACAAAGGAGCTTCCATACCAACTGTGTTTATTGTTTACAGCGAGTGATGCTTCATCAAGGTTCAATCATATGTATATATATTTATATTTATAATCGCCAGAACCGACAGAGAACGTCTCGATCAGAAGCTAGTTGGCGGCTTTATGCAGCAACGGTGGTTGAAGACGATGATCGTAGACGATGTGGAGGGAAGCCTAAAGCAGACAGCTGATAGTATTGGATTTAAAGTAATTTCAGACAGGAAGTAACAACAGAAGAGCTTTTGTTCTCACCATCTCAGACAGTATTTGTGATTTGTTTCTGCAAAACATCCGGCAACTTAAAACCCCCAAAACATACTTGCACGTCATCTCAACGTACAGACGAGCCGAGCTGTCGCTATCTGTTGGTTTGAGGCTCGGTGTAGCTGTCGATGTGGGAGAGTGGTGGACAGGTGAGGTGGGCGCACAGAGGAAATCCCTTTTAAAATGTGTTTTATGACATAATGAGATGAAAAAAAACACCATGAACTCAGATACACTCGGATGGGACAGAGCCAAGCCTTCGGACTCGGGTTCAACATCATCTTTAAGAGCATTAAGTTTCAGAGATTTGTTTCTCCATTTCCTGAGAAACAAAGCCGACCCCGGGTGGTTGGGACCCACGCCAGGCTCTGTTCCATCAGTCTGCATCCGTGAAGCCGGTGAGGTGAAACCGTGGAGGTCTAGGACTCGTTGACGGACATGCACTCCATGGCGTTGGGCAGGTTCTGGTCTCCTCCTCCTCCTCCCTGCTTCTTCTTCTTGCCTCCTTCATGCTGTTTCTTTGCCTTCTTGGACAGCTCTTGGTCGATGGGAGCCGGCTTGACGAACTTGATGATTTCTGTCAAACCTGGAGGTAAAAAAAAACAAATTAATTCAATGTCTTAACGATGAATCTTCATGGCAAACCTACACTTGGGACATTTTTGGAAAACAACCACCGCTGTCATATCTGAACGCTAAATATGCAGCTACAGCTAGGAGATGATTAGCTTAGCTTAGCTTAGCTTAGCGACTGGAGGCATTAGCAAACAGCTAGCCCGACTTTAAAGCTCACCAGTTTTATTTGAAACTGTTGTTTATATATTTCGGTTTAAGAATAAACAACATACGAGTCCGTTTATAAATGTAAAGGTGCTGCATGAACATTTTTTATTTTTGGGGGGTACACTCGTGTAATTTTTGGACCTTTCCAAGGTTGCAAAGTTCTGTTTTTTTAAGCTGAATCGACTCTGCACTTGTGTGGGTGATTACAGAGAACAAATTAATAAAATTAACCTTAAAGGTGAAGCCTGGGCCGACATTAATACACTAAAAAAAGGGCTGAGAGCTGAGCTGGAGAGTTCACATGTAGCTGCAGCTTTGCAATTTTTGAGAATAATTTCAGGTATTTTGACAAAGTGAAGTTTAAAAAGTCAAAAATTAAAACATTAGCAGCAGAAATTAGCATAATAAAATAAATAAAACGATATAAATAAGAGCTTTAGGTGAGTTATTAGTCCATATCGCACACGACAGTCAGAGTAAAACCTTCTTATTGGGTTTTGCAGCAGCCACAGCTCACCTGGAGGCATGAAGTCCCTGAGCTTCTCGGGGACGACGATGCCCTCTTCGGTCTGGTAGTTCTCCAGGATGGCGCACATCACACGCGTGGTGGCGCACATGGTCGCGTTCAACATGTGCACGAACTCCGCCTGCAGAAAGAGAGCAACAGAAGTGAGTTCAGAAGGAACAGATGCTTCACTGCTGCTGCTGTTTAAATGAGCCCGTTAGTAAGGGCTGGGAGTCGAACACTTGCCTTGTCCATCATCTTCTTGGTCTGTCCGTAGCGGATGCGGAGGCGTCTGGCCTGGTAGTCGGTGCAGTTCGAGCAGGAGACCAGCTCTCTGAAGGCACCTGAGCCGGGGAACCAGGCCTCCAGATCCAGCTTCTTGCTGGCCGCGTGGTTCAGGGCGCCTACGACGACACCAGGGAGGAAGAATCAGCTGAGTTCATGGTCCCTGCGAGCGCTCGTGGCTGCTGGTAATTAAGTTGTTTGTGGGAAACAAACAACCAGAAACCACTTTTGTTCGTGTTTACTGTAAACCAATGTCTCGTGAGTACCGCTGAATCACCGCACGGATTTCCACATTTGATTAAATTCCCCATGTTTCATTTGCATCAGATGAACCCCCCACGGAGCGTTTCTCAGAAGCGACGCAGCAAACGAGCGAACAACACTGTTGTGGCTCGATCATGTGAGCTGCGGTTCGATCCACGTAGACAAACTGTTCACGTCACGGTTCACAGTCGTGACTCGGAGCGGCACTGCGGTCACATTTTAAGCTAAAATAATGTGCTGTGCATGTTCCAGCGCCTTGTTTTCATCAGTCCACAACGACAATCTGCTGCACATGTTGCACACATGCAGCTCACGTTTCCTGAGAAGAGGCACAAACGCAGATCTCAGGATTATACGGATCGATGGAGCATTCTTCTAGTGAAAAACCTGTTTATTTTGATCCAGCAAAGAAAGCAAACTGAAAACTTTATTTGTCACACTGAGGATACGTATTAAGGCAAAAAAGGGAGATTAATAGTTCTTGTAACTTGAAGATTAAATCCCCAGAAAGTTCCTGTGAGTTTTTATATGTGGACGGATCCATATTTCTACTAAAATCCAGTGTTTGGTCGACATTTCACCAACTTTTAAAGGTTCTAACATCCGTAGAAGTTGATGTGTGGCAAATATAGCAAGAGAAGGTTCCACATTTTTTAATATTTTGACACTCGTCCAAAACTTTTTCTTAAATGACTTGAAATTTGTCAACAATTACTCAAAATTGGAAAAACACCCAAAGTGCAGTAGTGTATAATTATTTACCATCAAAAATGGGGGAAAACGTGTGAAATTTTCAACCGGCATCGTGCCAAGTGAGCTGGTTTCTCTTTTTCTGGGTTTACTTTTAGATCAGAATCATAGTCGTCCAGTTCTGTCGCTTTTCTTCCTCGTCCACCGAGACTCCATTTATTTTAGCTTCTCGTCTCCGGATTCTGCTTCAAGTAAAAACGACCTGAAACGACGTGGCCTCACAGCGATCCGACAGGGTGATCCATCGCCGCATGCAGCTGCTCCAGAAAGTCAGCCTCTGATGTGAAAACAAATCCCTCAAATTTACGACCGTTTGACGAGACGAGTTAACCAAAACCTCAAGCTGGTTAACGTTTCGTCAAACGTTCAAAGCTGTCATCAAGAGAAGGAGGAAGATGAAATGTGCCACGTGAGCTCTTTTCTCTTTTTCTGAGTTTGTTTTCACGTGAGAGGCCGACCTTCTGGAGCAGCGACGGATCACCCTGTTGGACTGCAGGACGGTTTTACTTGAAGCAGAATCCGGAGACAAGAAGCTAAAATAAATGGAGTCTCCGAGGAAGAGGCAGAAAAGCGATCCACATGCTTCCCCTCCTCAACCCAACCTCCTGCTCTCTAACAGCTAAACAGTCACTTTATGTACCAGACGTCTCGTTAGCTCTGACCTCTGCAGCACCAACACTCTGAACAGAAAGTCCTGAACACTTAAACAAACAAACTCAGGTAAATCCAGCGCCCTTGACTCTCAGAGCTTTCTGTTTCCACCCAACAGCTGCCATGCGGAGTCTGACCTACCGGAGACGATGTTGACGATGCGGTAGGGAATCCCCAACGTCTGGTAGAACTCCTCCGCCGTCCCGATCATCTCGTCGAACATCTCCCACGATTTGCCGTCGTGCGGGGAGGCGTAGACGAACTGCTCGATCTGCAGGGAGACAATTTGGGATCAATTCCAACAGCGAGACACCTAAAAAAAAAATCCTTGATATACCAAAAGATGAGAGCAGCAATGTTTTCATTTGCTTATAATAATAATTGTCTTCTAATCACGTCAGTGTGAGTCTGGCGTTGATTTTTTGGGAACTGATGGTGAATAATTAACACTAACTAAAATTGACAAATGCACATTTGAAATGCTCCAGACTTGGTGGTTGTGTTGCTGAAGCCGTGAGACGGTGCAGCTTCCTCAGATTGTCAGGAGGCAGAATCATCAAACTCCATAGAGACATCCGCAGAACTTGTTTATTTTAATCTATTTATGCCCCGACAGCGACACAGGACCCCGACTTCAGTCCCCCTCAGCTCACCTTCTCGAACTGGTGCACCCTGAAGATGCCGCGGGTGTCTCGGCCGTGGGATCCCACTTCCTGTCTGAAGCAGGTGGAGAAGCCGGCGTAGCGGATGGGCAGGTCCTCCGGGTTGAGCCACTCCTCCCTCAGGAAGGCGGCGATGGGCTGCTCCGAGGTGGCGATGAGGTACTTCTCATCTACGGTGTTGTCGTCGCACTTCTCGCTGCTCTTGCCGATGACCTGACGGAAACACGGGGTCGAGGTTTGTGGGCGTTAGACGATCATGGAAACTGATCTTCTTCTTCTGTAGCCTTGATCAGTGTTTAGCTGCAGTCACGTAAACCCACTGAGCAGTTATCAGATCCCTCATTCTGATGTTTGGAAGCTCCTGATCTGAACCTGTAGGACTTTGTGCTGATTGGCTACTAGGTGTGCAGATGTTCCTAAAACAGCGCTCGGTGAATTTGCATATGTAGAATTTGGTGAATGTCTGAATGAAAAATGCACAAGACAAGTGTAAACAAACCTGCATGACTGTAGCGGCTGAACACTGCTGCTCGCCAACAGAAAATATGCAAAGAAAACACCTCCACTGCTTCTACCTTCGATGTGCAGCTCTTTATTAAAGCCTCCAGGGGGCGCTTTTGCGACTAAAGGCCAGAAGTATGCAGACACCAGAGCTGTTCGTTCCATTCTTCTAACCTGGCTGGTATTTAATCTACTCTTCGGCCCCAATAAACCAAATTCAGCGTGTCAAGTCTGGTTGGTTTTACAATGTGAGTCAGCAGCTCAAATGTTGACGGCATGACGCAACATTAAATCGCTCTTCAGTGCAGAAGCAGCAGCCGGTGAAATGCTGCCTCCACACCGACTCCCAAAAAGCACAGAACCGCTACAGAAAATACGAGCATCTCCAGTCTCAAGTTCAAACTTTATCCCATAAAAGCACCGATCCGTTAAATGTTTTTGCCATTTAATCAATTTAAGATATGCGGCTGTGACTCACCACCGCTATCCTCATTCATATTGTACGCTACAGATTATCGCCAACCTAGCTGCAAAAAAAATAAAAGAAATCTTGAAATCTGGCAGTTAAAATCGTTACAGAAACGATCTCATCCCGACATACTTTTGCAAAACTGGAAGGTTTTCAAAACGTTTCAGGCAAACTGCAGGTTTGGACTTGTGAACAATGTCGAGGACATACCGTCTCAGCCGACAGCCAATGTTCCTGCTCATTGTTCTCACTGCTCTCACATGCACCTGCGACTTATTTGGGTGTTTTAAGAGAACTCTGCAGGACAGAACATCGGGGAAAAGAGAAGCGTCAGTACCTTGTAGAGCTCCTCATCAAACTGGCTGAGCTGGGCGACTTCCTGCATGACCTCCTTCCTCATGAAGAAGGGCGTGTAGAGCATGGTGTAGTTCTTGCTGTGCAGGATCCTCAAGGCGTAATTGATCAGCGCCTGCTCCAGGAACACCAGCGGGCCCTGAACACAACACGGGAGGCGGCAAACGGTTAGTTTCTAAATTTTCAGGTCTGGAAGCGAAAGGAAAGTCGCTCGTCTTCTTCTACGGGTGTGTCGGTGCAGATCGGATGTGTTTGCAGGAGAATGTTTTAGCCTGTTCGTCTGCTAACGTGCAGCACACGTAGGAACCCACCTTCAGGAAGTAGCCTCTGCTGCCGGCCACCACGGCTCCCCTCTCGCCGTCGAAGCCGTCGATCATGACCACCAGGTCGACGTGGGAGTACTTCTTCTGGACGCTGCAGTCGCCCCAGGTACGCTCCACCTTGTTGTCGGCATCCTGACGGAAGCAAAACGAGAGGAATTAGCGGCTAACGATTACGCGACACAAAATGGATCCGGAATGATTTTGCCGGTCAGTTCCAGCTTCTCTGATTGGAGGATCGTGTCACTTTCTGTCATACATATAGAACCGTAAACGGATTTTAAAAGTTTCTGTCACTCCAGCTGTGAGGGCACTTAAATGACTTTTTCTGACAGTTGCACGAAAAGATCGACACCACTTTCATACCTACATGCCAAATAAGAAGCTAGAACCAGAAGATTATTAGCTTAGCTTAGCATAAAGACTGGAAGCAGTGGAAAAAGTACCAAAACTATCCATTTACCAGGACTTCCAGCCTTTATGTTGAGTTAAACTAAGCTCACCAGCTGCAGGGTTACAAATGTACGGTATAAATATGAACGTGGCAAATGGCTTACTGTTACTTCTAATCAGAAATATCATCATTAGCATGAAGCCAAAAAACAAAATCTCTGGGAAATATGTGACATGCACTGTATATGTACTGTTTAAGTGAATAAATTACAGGTTAATCAAGAATTAAAATATAACAAACAGCAACAAAGGGCTGCAGGATTTTGGGAAAAAATCTGATATTTTGTTTTTCTGTGACATGACTTGCATAATAACAGAATTTTTACTGGAAACGTCTGAAGTCTTTCTCACATCGTGCTACACTGGGAAAGGTGTGCAAAATAGTTTCCTGTGTTGTATGACATTCAGATCTGACTGTGCACTCCTCATATAATTTAAATGTTCTAACAAATTGCCTTGTGTTTGGCAACCATTGCAGACACTGCTGTTGGCTGACATATTTCCATTCGACGCGGTTTTCCTGATCGTCACCTCGTCGTTGCTGATGGGAACGGACGGGTGCAGGACGTTGCCGATCTCCCTCAGGTACTCGAAGCGCTCCGCCTCCAGCTTTATCCTCTTGCTGTCGGTCTTCTCCACGGCCTCGTCCACCAACAAACGCACCTTTTTGATCTGGGTTACCGTCAGGGCCTGATGCAGGGGAAAAAACATACACAAGCCAACAGGTAAAGCACAGCAGAAACAGAACAGTTTGGGGGTATGTGTGTGCTGATTATTCCACCGTTACTCATACCGATAGTGTGTCAGCTGTGAGGGACTCCAGGTTCTGGGCCTCCTCGGGTACAGAGTCATCATCCCCAACTGGTTCCTTCTTCTGCGTTAACAAAACAGGAGGACACATAGTTCTACACCGTCTCTTCTCGTTTAAAGTACACCATTACTGACTTATTCAGTGTTGCTTATGTACCTTCATTTTCTCCCCGATGCTCTTGCTGCAGAGGTTCTTTGCTTTGTTGAGGTTGTCTGCAGTGAAGCGGCCTGTCAGGGGGGAAACCAGTCAGTCAGTGAATGCATCATGGGACTGTCTTTAGCCTGCAGCAGCTGCAACCAGGTGACAGGTGTCATTTAGCAGCTAACCCCCATAACCTCTGAACACACTCGTGATATCGCAAACAAACCATCTTCAGCTCTCAGACAGCAGCAACATCAACAACAACAACGCGCTGACAAAAGTGACGTTATCATCCTGGACCAGCACCGCTTGACTGGAGGCTCGCTGCAGGGCGAGGTTGGCTTGACATGTCACTGGCTGGGATTGCATCAGATCGCACGTTACCACCCGGCATCGCTAAGCTAACCCGGTGTTAGCCAGCATTTCGTGTTAAACCGCGTCTGGTAACAAAACAACACGAAGCCGGTGTTGACTAGTGTTTGAACTACTTGAAAACCGGTGCCAAATAAGCTCCGGTATCTTAGTTAAAGCTAACCATATGGCTCATTTGGGGCTCGTTGAGTGATGCTAGCTAAGTTAGCATTAGCGTCACTGCGTGCTGTCCTCCTCCAAACCAAACTCCATTCAAATCCGGCTGCAGGTTGTTGCTTAACTTAGTTGCAAACACTCGTCTGTTGCACAAGGTAAACTAAGTACGTCCTGTTAAATTAATGTATCCCGACAAAAAACGGCGCGATTATAACGCACCAAACGACACGTTTATTATGCCCGCTATTAACTTTCAGAAGTGAAAGTAGTCCGCTGCAGTGTAGTGAATGCTAACCTTCAGCAGTATCAGGATTATTATTAAAAGCTTTTTCTATTATTTCAAGGAGCCGAATAGAAGGCCGGGTCCCAAAAATATGTAAAAGCTTTTAAAATCCCATATTGGATCAACCAGTTGGCTACTGTGCACACTAACGACAAAAACTGACAGATTTTTCATGGAGTTGGGCGTGATGCTACGCTAGCATTAGCATCATTAGCCACCGCGCTAACGTTAGCATCTGTGACAGAAACAGGAGAACTGCGCTTACATTTCCTCCACTCCGTGTCTGCGGCCACCAGTTTATCCACCAGAGTCACATCTTTAAACCTCTTTCTCTGAGTCTCGCGGACGATTTCTGGGTCGCCGCCTTTGTCGGTCCGGAACAGGTCCAAGTCGAGCACCATGTCTGCACGCTGTCTGTCGGAGAGACTGAATGAGGACGGAGCGCTGACGGTACAGACCGGGTTGCCAGGTTTGGCCCCTCCAGTAACTAACCCGTAATAAAGAAAAAAACAATGACGGGTCACAAAATTAATTATTACAAATATTCTGATACTCAGCCAATCGCTGAACAACAATTTCAGACTTTGGATTTTATTCAGGTTGATATTTAATCAAAAGTGATTCTTGATACAATAGACGTTTTATTCCAGACTGGCAACCTGCAACACCAGCAAGAGTCATGCAGCAGACTGAAAACCCCCCATGTACAATATCATCTAAATGTCAGATATTTCAGCACTGTTTAACCTCTCAATAGCTGAATTATTTCTAAGTTGAACACAGTATTTCCTCTTACAATTAAACAAAACAGACAAACTATATTGTACCCTAATTGGACCCAAAGTAGGAATTCAGGAAACTCTGAGACCAATAAAACCAAACCTTGTGATTCCCAATTAGATAACTGCATGAACATGGTCATAACATGAGCAGAGGTTTCTCAGTTTTGGACCTATGAACGGTGTCTATCTGCATGTCTTCATTGTGGCTCCACGTGGCCAGGGTGCCAAAAAAAAAAAAAAAATCTGTTTGTGAGACTTCAAGAAGATGGAAAAGGATCGAAGAAGATCAACTAAAAATCTGTGAAACATACAGGAGCAGCAGTAATCAGGAGGTACAGAACGAGGTGTAACACCACTAATCAGTGTTGCAGTGGTCGTGCCCCTGAAATCACACCACAGACGGTGTTCTGCTTGTAGAATCCAGCTCTGAAAAACAGATGTGTAAGCGTTTGAGACTTGACAAAGAGGTTATAGACACAAATCAGAGCTTATTGCATAATGTGACGCAGGAAAAAACAAGAAGTAAACCTGTGCTTGCTCTTTGGGGAAACACCTGCAGGATGACTCTCTGCTAAAGAACACGAGTCTGATGAATACTGGGAGAACATTTTTTAGTCAGATGAGACCAAGATAAAAGCTCAGCTCAGATGGGGTCCACCGTCTTTGGCGTGAACCGGACCAGGACCACCACAGTGAATGCACAGTCCTGACAGTGAAGCGTGTAGGTGGGAGTGTTGTGATATGGGGCTGCATTGATGCGAAAGCTGTCGGAGAGACGACATCTGTCACATTGGGTCATTTTTTTTTTAGCAAAGAGCAGCTGAAAAACAAGCACCTCTGATGACTGACAGAACTTCTTTCCAGGAATTTGGTATCTTCCATGTTGAGAAAGATTGAGCCTGTCATCCAAAATAAAGCGTGGCAACATATGACTGATTTGAATCCCAGTAATGAAGTTGCCCTTCGCTGCATAGAGTTCCTTCTGTGGAGCCTGTGAGTTTAATTTAACAAGTCAAAGCTGGTTTTAATTTGACATAAAAGCAAATATTCGTCATGTTCAATGTAGAAATGATGCAGTTACTGTGAGGCGATACGATTTACAATCATTTCACATTGAAAAGATTTTGCACATTTACTTCTGTTTTATACTCAAAGCGTCACAAACACATTATATTTAATATATTTGCTTTATTAGATGCACAGAGATACAAATATGATGTAAAATACAAAGACAGCGAACAACATTTATTCATATGTGTAACCTCACATTAGCATAAAATTCAAAATGATCGGACCTAATAATCCATTTTTATGTATATGGGATATGCACACAAATAAATAAACCGTGACTGTAAACATGCATGTATACAAAGTTCAATATGTACTTCAAGATAAGCATTTTCATTGAGTAACTCGTTTATAAGAATAATAGTTTATTTCTGTACAGTGCATATTTTACAAATGTTTAATTTCATTTTTTAAAAAAAAAGAATTGTACATGTCATTGCAACAAAATAAATTGGAAACTTTTTTTTTTTTTTTTTTAGTCATGACACATGTTACTGGACGCACACGTTACACACATATGTGTAGCACGTTAACACACTTCAGAGGCTATAGTGCATCGTTGCAGCCACTGCAACAGTAATGAGGCGTCGGTGGTTAGTCGGTCGGCTGCTTCAGGGCGCACCATCAGGGACTGTACATGTGTTACCCACTTTTCAGTGGTGAAACTCATTTTCCAGCCAGAACGCCCATCTGCAGACCAACCTTTCTTCTATACGGAGCTCAGAACTACCATTAAAGGTCCTTTAAGGCGGAAATCGTTTTTTGTTGTGTTTTGTATGAGCTAGAAACTCGCAGGTGTAAAATAAAAGCTGTGAAAAATATGATATATTATCCAGTTTCTACACGGAAACCGAGGAACAAATAGTCACCGAGCTAAATATTTCCATCTTCTCACTGATTCCAGGTGATAATTAGCAGCTTCCTCACAACTCACCAAATGTTCTGCTGTTGGCTGCAAGAGTGAACACAAGAGTCTTCATGCACTGCCAGCATCTGAGGAACTGAACACCCAGCGGATTACGGCTATTTTTGATGGCAATGTGCCCACAACAATAAGAAACTCCTCAGTGCACGTTGTGTGGCTAATGCGGCTAACGTCACCATTAGATCTGATGGTCCGCCCACGGGTCAGAACTACGTGGAATCTGTAAGTGACGAGGGACTTTTAGAGATGGTGGAACCTTTAAGACTAACTCGAAACCCATAAGTAAGGACGGGGTGGGTGTCTGTGTTTCCATGAACTCACCTGGTTGCGGCCCTTCTCTCCTGCTCCCTGTGCTCACGTGCACTGTATCGTAAAACGGTTGGATTTCCAATGAAGCTGTTGTCATTTACATATTTGTTCTGTTGTCAGACGAGTACAAAATAGTTAGCAGCTAAAGTACTGATTTTAAAACCTTCATGGTAAACTCACCAAACATGAGTTAAATAAAAGGGTTTGTTGAGAACTTGGAGTCGACGGTGCCGCTCTGCTCTGTCAGTAACCGAACAGAGGGAGTCTTCTTCCTGAAGGGGGCGGGGACAGCAGTGGCTCAGCTGTATTTAAAGCTACAGGCGCTAAAACAGCCCAACTAGAACAGGGCTAAGACCAGACGTTGTATAAAATGAACCATCTTTGCAGTATTTTGAGCTGAAAAGGGCAAGACACATGGCGGGGACATGTGAGACTTTGACGAATTTGTGAAGGTACATTATGGGACCTTTAAATCCGGGTGTAAAGAGTCCCCTTTTTCACTGCTCAGTTTCCTTCCTCCACAGAGTTCTGCTGTTTTGCCCTCATTTCCATCGCGGCCTCATCGATGGCCCACTGCAGAGCGGCGCCGGCCGGCACGTTAGCGTAGCTCTCCTCTGAGATGTGGCTGATCTTCAGGTAACCCCCCGGCCTGTGCAGGGCCACTCCGTGGAGGTGGGAGAAGAGCAGCGCCAGGTCATTTGTGAGCGTGTAGTGCGACACCAGCCTCAGCTCGGTGGGGATGTCCGTCTCCTCAGAGTACTTGAAAATGGCTGCCATGTATTTGGACAGGTCCTGACCCCTGGCTTTGGCTCGACACACCTCCTCTCCGATGAGTTTGACGGCGGCGTCGGACCCAAAGTCTAGCTCTCTTTCTGCCTCCTCATCTTCACCGTCCCACTCTGGCTCCGGAGGTTCTGGTTTTTGGTTTAGACCCCAAGAACAGATCACCAAGATGAAGTCGCATTCCCGGATGTGGCGGCAGTGCCAGGCCATGCTGCCCTCCTGAGCCACGCTCAGAGAGTCCCACAGGTCCAAGCACACCTGGGAGGAAAAAGAAAACAGCCTTATGATAAAACAAACCAAACTGGACAACAAGACTTTGGCGAAATGAAACGTCCCGTCCGGTACCTGAGTGGCCATGTGCTGCTGTATGAAGGCTCCGAGCTTCATGACGGCGTTGATGTGAGCTGGACCATCACAGCTGCTGTAGCAAATCAGGAGACGTGGAGGTTTCAGCCTGTTTCTGGCCAACAACACCATCTCCTCCTGAGTCCTGCTCTCTTCGTGCTGCTTGATAATATCTGAACGGAAAAAGAAGCTCTGGTTTGCATTTCGCGCACAGCTAGTGAAGGAACAGACGGAGCGGACGTTCAGTAACTCACGAGTCAAAACAGTGGCTGGATTTGTCTTTGCACCTGGTTTAATGTCGAGTTTCTTCATGCGCAGCTTCGACCTCCTCCTGGCGAAGACAACCAGCAGGACTCCCAGTATGGCAACGACAGCCAGACACAGTGGAAGCACCACGGCCAGCGACGGAGTGGTAGAAAGTGGAACGCCACCTTCGAGGACGGAGGAGATGATGGGTCGGTGTTAGACCTCAATGAAATAACTTGATGTTTGGGGTCATGCGCTTATCTGAGTTGACTTCTCACAAAAATATTATACCAGCTAGAAGGCCTTCAGGAGCAGGATATAGCCGGAGCTACCAGCTGATGAGTCCCAGTAAACTATTATTCCGTCCAACTTGCCACCAAATAGGTGTTTTCTTTTACTAACCATGGCTGGCTGGTTGTCTGAGGTGAATGGGTTCTATCCATGTATACATTACATGTTGTTTAAAATATAATGGCAATATCAACATTTTTGGACCTTGAGTTTGACCTTGAAAGCCCCAACATGGCTGCTTATCTGCACCAAACACCATAAATCTGAACTATTTTTGCACCGATTCACCCCAAAATCTAATCAGTCCGAGGAGAAGCCATTCCTAGCTCACCTGTAAAATATCAACTTGTGAGATCTTAGCACTCGAGCTGGACGGACAGATGGGGGCGGTTACTCTAAAGGTGGACAAGCAGCGACCTCTTACCTTTATGAATGCGCAGCACCTGAACACTGAATGTTTTTCTCACAGCATCCACTTCGTTGGCTGCGATCTGCCACACGAGAAAATGAAATGAATGTCCAAGTTCATTTCTGAACTTGTAGTTTTACAAAGTAATCAGCGTTTTTTTGGCCACTTGGGGGCAGTGTAACGAGCTGAAACCACAACACTGATGAACATCAATGAACTCTACTCTTCTTTAAGCTCTGCTTTATTCTCCACCAGTCTGAAGGTAAACATCTTTATCTGATGAATTCTTTAGTAAAAGCTTGACTTTGTTCATCACTGTGTTTGTACAGGGGCTCTGTGGGAGTTTTTGTGCCAGAAACTGCTGCCGACACTATAAAAGGTGAGACTAAAGTAAAACAGTGAAGCTGCAGGTAAAAAAAACAAAACAAAACAAAACAATGAGTCAAAAGACCTGCAGCCCTGAGCAGAGTGTCGCAGCATAATTCTCTTTTCACATAAATAACCCACTTCATGTTATACTGAGGGTCTTTCCATCTCGAATCTCACATTAAAGTTTGAGGCCGTTTGAACAACAACATCTCAGGAGCCATCCATCATCTAAACACCACTTAATCCTCACCAGGGTCATGGGGGGCTGGAGTCTATCCCAGCTGACTCAGGGTGAAGGCAGGTTCACCTGGACAGGTAACCAGTCTATCACAGGGCTACACTTAGAGACAGACAACCAAGCACACTCACATTCACACCTACGGACAATTTACAATCACCAATTAACCTCAGCATGTTTCTGGACTGTGGGAGGAAGCCGGAGAACCCGGATAGAACCCACGCTGCACGGGGAGAACATGGAGACTCCACGCATAAAGATCCCGGGTGTCCTCACCGGGACGTGAACCAGCGAGGCAACCTTACAGTCCTCACAGGAGCTTTTAAAGATAAAAACCTGAAATTTTCAATGTTATTTCTCATCATGTCGTTAGTTAGGTATCGCTGATATTGGACAAAGTTCCACCTTAAAGCTCACAATAACAAAATAATAATATATGCAGAAGTCGACTGGGGATGTTTCTGAACCACATGTAGCTGCAGGTCACACTCATACAAAACAAAACACATAAAATACTTTTAAATATGAAATATTTAATCTAAAAAAAAGGGGGGAAAAGTTCTATTTGTTGAACTTTTAAAATTGATAGAGAAAGTATGACCCGTTGTAACACAAAGACTGAAACACTGGATGGAATAAGTGAGTAGAACACAGGTCTATATATATATATATGTGTGTTAAAGTAAATATAGAATATCGGCATATTTTTCATTTTTGGGCCACATTTTGTTTCCTGGAGACACGGATTGAACTGCTACATATTTGATCTGTTTGTTCAGTCCTGCAGATTCTGAATTAAAGACATGATGAGAAACAACAGCGAAACGTTCAGGTTTTTATTCATAATAGTTCCTAAAATGTTGTGGTTCAAACAGCTTCAGATTTCATTTGGGTTGTATTTATTTTTATCTTTAAGTATTTGATGGGGCTAATTTTTCACAAATATCTTTATAAATCTCCATCATTTAAGACAATAAGTAAATCAAAGATGGCTGAGCAGAAGGATCCTGATGATTGGAGATGAAATAACCTCTGAGTAATCTGATTTATTGTTAATATAAATGTACAGATTAGTGCAGCTTTCACTCTTGTCAGTGACTATAAGCAAACTCCATCTGCTGATTAAGTCCATCAAACACAACAGGAAACTAAAGACGAGGAAAGAAAAACACATTACATCAGTTTTGATCCTTTTTACTTTACCTCGCAGGTGTAGTTGGTTCCTTCTTGCAGGTCGTCCAGATGATAACTGTGGTGGGTTTTGTTTTTGGTGGAATTCTGGGGCGATAAAACTGAAGGTTAGCGCAGTAAATATACACAACGCACTGAATGAAAACAAAGCCGAAGAATACAAAAAATAAAGCAAAGGGAAGCTCTCACAGGTGTGATGTCCGTGTATTTCTTCATGCCGTTTGCGTAACACAGAGAGAAGTAGCTGCTGATGCCCAGGTTAGGAGGAGCCAGGTTGAAGGTCACGGTGACGGCGCTTCCTTCCTGCTGGACCTCAATGTGTTTGGGATACCAGTCTGCAAACATGACCACAAAACAGATGTGAAGCTGATCTGAGGAGGAAACGTATCAGAGCTTATGGAGCTTATGTGGGATTTTTCAGACGCTCTCGTCACCTTTCTTGCACTGCTCCAGACCGTTCTTCTCCGTACAAGCTGCAAAACCACAACAAACACGTTAGTCGCTGCTGTTTATTTAATACTTGAGGCCACATAAAGGAAATGTTTGCAGAGCAGAGGAGCTCCCTGACGGCACAGAATGAGATGTTATTGTAGCTGCTCGCTCTGTCAGCCAGCCAGCCGTGAAGGATTACAAAAGCTAAGTGTGTGTTGTGAGACGGAGCGTAGCCTGCAGCTCCGCCGGGGTCGTACATCGCGTGGAGAAGATCTCGCTGTGGTAGAACTTCTCCCACTTCTCGGGCACCGGCAGGGCCATGACGGTGACGGCGTACTGGGTTCCGAGGGCGAGGCCGGGGAACGGGTCCGACGTGTACACCTGCAGGACGCCACAGCAGAGAAGAAAACACTCTGAACACTTTTATCTTCAGGGGTTGAGGTCTGATGAGAATTCTAGATATTTGCTGCACGTTTGACACAATAATCCAAATCATCTCTGGAAACATCACACTAGACTTGGATTCTGTGTTTGTCTGAACGTCCTTCAGACTCTCGGACGCTGATTTACTTTCGAGCAACAGTCCAGATCTTTCTCTCCTCAGTCCAGGTGAAATCTTCTGACCTCGTCTCTAGTTTAGGAGTGTCTTGATGCACTGACACTTTGTAAAACTCTCCAAAACTCTTGACCTTCTGTGGCTCCTTGTGGAGTTTGTCCAAGTCAGCAGTCTTCTCCAGCTGATGCACTGAACGAGACACTATTTACAGTCTGAATAGTAATTTACTCAAACTTTAAATTAAATAAACGCGTAAATATAAATATTCTAATGTTGTTTTTGAGCTGTAGGCCATAATTATCAAATTAAAATGAGAAAATGTTTGAAACATTTGACTTTATGAGTCCAGAACAAGTTAAACTTTCTCTTTCCTAAACAACTGGTGGAAAGCATTGAGCTTTTTTCATGATATTTTATTTGTTTGAGGTGTTGCCGATGTCAGTGCGTCTTCACTTTAACTGTTGTGTTTGTAGAACAAAATTAAGGAAAGCAAAACTATCAAAGAACACGTGTGGATTCATGTAGGAAGCAGATAAAGTTTTAGATCTTGGAGCCTCGTGTTGCTTCACAGACTGCTGAAGTTCAGATTTCCTTTTTGAAATCGCATTTCTCGGTCCGAGCATTTCTCTTCTTCTTCCTTCAGTCGAGGTTTCTTTGCAGCTTAAACGGCTGTCTTCACTCCAAACAGTCGATGCCGAGACGTTAATCTGTGATTTCTGGACTTCTCTCCTGCAGCAAACCTCTGGTTCTGGCTCATCATAGATGGTTATTGGAGTAAAGCTGTTTGAAGGGAAATCTCTAAGAAGAGGAAGATCCGAACGAAACTTTGTGCAAGTTGTAATTATTCTCTCAGGTCGTGTGAAGTGTTTGGAAAAAGTCAACAAACACTTTAAGAACATTTTTTTTTATCTCCAATAACTTTTCTCTGATAATAAACAAGTTCTGATGCACAATGATGTTTGTTTCCTTTGATTTTCTGTCACAGTGGTTCTCATGGAGCTGAAAAGTCTCGTGATGGAGCTTGACCGCTAAAAACAAACACGCGTGTTGAGCCGTGCGGCGTGTTGAGCCGTGCGGCGTCCAGAGACGTGCACGCTGTTCGGTATGCGGAGCCCTTTGGGACGCGCCTGAAAGCAACGGCCACATAAATAACAGCCGTCCTTCGACTTCAAGACGACACTCAGCGCTGAATTTACTGCTCTTTTCTCCGAGGGCACGTTTCCAGTCTCAGCGGGGGATGATGTCATCGTGACCTCACCCAACAGACAGCTTCAAAAATCACGATTTCGCATTTAGACGTGGAACCACTGGGGTCTCGTTGGGAGAGATTTAGGATCCACTTGCTGCTTCAGAAATACAAAAAAAACTACCATAAACATTGTGTGTAATCGTTTGAAGAGGCGGCGGGGTCCTGCCTACCCTCTGAGCATGAGACGCCGGTAAGGAGACGTTTCGATGGAAGAGGAAGAGCTGACAGGCGACGCCGGTGCCGCCCAGAGCCTGCAGCGACACCTGGAAGCCTCGCAGGAAGGCGATCCCTGCACAAAACACACAAAAGACACATCAGCGCCATCCATCATCCCACTCCCATGCAGTTAAAGACATGTGTGCGTCGCATGTGCTGCGGCTTTCCAGTCAATTAAACCTTAAACATGACAGCCTGTTATACCTGTCAGGGCCTCACAGTCGTATACGTCTCGCAGCAGCCGCTTGGACTTTGAAGTATTCTCATAAAGCGCAGCAGAATTGTTTCCTTCTCACGATAAGTCGCCTAAAATAAATCTTGTCAAACGGCGATGTGAGAAATTCACTCAGAGGGGAGGCCGCTGGTGATTAATGGGCTTCACGAAGAGATTTTAAAAAGTGGGACAGCTGCCTTCAAACGTAGAGGAGGAGGGTGGAGACCTACCGTAGTAGCTGGGCTTCCAGGAGACCACCACCGTGTCAGACTTGGGGTTCGGTTCGTTCACAAACTCCACCTTCACCTCGTTGGGCGCCTGGACGTAGTGCCGGCAGATCTTAGGGTCTCTGAGCAGCTCGAAACATGGCCAGGGAACGCAATCTGGGGAGGAACAACGAGAGACTGTAGGTTCTCCAGACTACAGAGTCAAAGGAAGCAACACTTCTAGAGCGTGAAGGAGATATTTAGACTAAACACAAGGTGAAGCTGCAGCTGAGCGGAGTTTTGTCAGCTTTGGACAAAAACTAAGATAAACTGGGTCAGGTTTGTTGGTCTCCTTGCTCCACTGAT